TGCTTCAGAGCCCCCAAAAGCTAAAAGTATTCTTCCCTATTAGGGTCATAACGGGATTGTTACGTTTTTCGTGTTTTGGTGTTCTTAAGCAAGTAGTGGTATCTGAGACGCTTGGCTGCCAGTCACCGCCACGGTCGTCGTCGCTGAACCCGACCACCCAGAACCCCTTATGAAGAATTCTGTTTTACGGAACCCAAGGGAAGATTACAAATATCACTGTTGCTATTCTTAGTATTGTTACTATTAAGGTTCTGAGGGGAGTATAGCCACCTCACACAGGTCTTCGTCACGCACCATGTCCCGGTGGCCGTTCATTCGGAGCTTTGATCTTCAACGGAACACCCAGCCCGAAGTTGAAAATCCCAAGAGCAAAAAGACTGAAAGGTCACTTCTCCAAAAAAAACATGGTCTCTTTGGGGGAGTCCTTATTACACGGAGGCCCCTCTTATTTAGGGTGCCCAAAGAGGGACCCTCACCAAGAGAACTAAGCAAAAGACCTGAGACCTCCGAGTCGTTCATGGCCCCTGGCAACGAGCGCTTCTCGCTCCGAGGCAGCTCAAAGCAGCTGCTGGGCAAGGCCACAAAGCCGCTCGGTTCCTACGATGACGACTACGATGACCCCTCAACCCGAAAGCCTAAACCCTAAACCCAAAACGAGTACGTACACGTCTGCAAACGTTTTGATGTGCTCTCGACTACTTGGGTGTCCGTGAACTGTCCGGGGGACGGCCTTCTTAGGGCTTAGGGGAGCCTACCACCTCAAACCGTGAAGCAGTTATGGTTGGGGGAGGGGGGGGGGGGGCGGGGGTTAGGGTTTAAGGGGTTAGGGTTTAGGGTTTGGGGTTTAGGGTTTAGGGTTTAGGTGTCGGACTCGGATTTGTCGTCCGAGCGCAACAGAAGAGCACGTGCACTTGAAGCAAAGAATGGAAGAAGTCGCCTCTTGTTCATGACTGAGACTGACAAGATTTGGCCCTGAGGCTGGTCATCATCGTCAACCCTAATGCCGCCCATTTACCCCAACCCGTAAACCCTAAACCGTAAACCCTGAACCCTAAACTCTTTTCCCGCAAGGTGTACATCATGGGGCATCTTCCACCAGTCCTGACCTCCTTTACAAGCCACGCACTGCAGGGCGCCCAGCTGAGAGATCCCAAGACTTTTGCATTTTGGGATTTGGAGTTCGAATTCTGGGCGTAGCGTTTGGGATGGGTCAAGGTCGAAGGTTAAGGTTCAGACTTCCGACGTTTAGGGTTTTAGGGTTTATAGGGTTTAGGGATGTACCTGCTGCTGCCGCATGCCAAGATCATCTCAAGCCTCAAACCCGAAAAGCCGAAAACCCTGAAACCCCGCACCCTAACAACCCTAGAACCTCAAGCCCTAACTGCGCGTAAACCCCAAAACCCTAACCACAAACCCTAAGAACCCCAATCCCCCCTGTAAACCCTTTCAGCCCTAAACCCTAAAAAACCAACCCGAAGCACCTCAACCCTACCACTTACAACCCGAAACTCTTCAACTCCCTAAACCCTAAACAGGCCAACAACCCGAAACCCTGCAAACCCTAAACCCAAGCAACCCTCAAAACCCTAAACCCAAAAAGGCCTAAACCCTGAAAATCGCCCTAAACCCTGAACAACCCTGGCCGAAGCGCGATAGCAGTCAGTGGCGGGTTTCACGATGGAGGGTTTGGAGTTTTCTCGAGTTGTCACCTCCTGCACCAAGCTGTACCAAGGTGGCAAGAGAACTATGCCATTCGGTACTGGACGCTGGTATCCCAGCAACCTGGCCGATGCCACTGCTTCTGACCTCTTCGAATGGTCAGAGCCGGAAGATGGCGGTAGGGTGGTGACTTGGGGGGGGGGGGGGGAAAACGGGAGCGCCCACATTTCCTGGGTGCCCCACCAAATTTGTCCTAGGAATCTGATGCCCTTCTTGCCTCTGAGACCCAAAGACCGGGGCTGATCAACGGTTTGCCGGGTTTCAAGCACCGTGGAGATTCAAGCACCGCGGTGCGAATCCTCTGCGCGCGCATCTCGCCGGGCCAGTGCGCGAGTTCTAGTGCGAATCTGCTGGGGGGAGTGCACAATCTGCGTGTCCGTGCACGATTCCGATCTTTCCAGTGTGCGAATCAGTATTTACCAGCGCACGAATCGGCTCCCAAAGTGAAAGCCCTGAACCCCGACAGCTTCAGCCGAAGGCCACACACCTCGACCTCCAGCACGAACTTGCTAAAAATTGTTTTCTTCCCCAGGTATGGCCGCATTGTGGCAGCACAGCTCTTTGGGCATCAGCATCGCCACTCGGCCAGGCCCAAAGTGTTCTGGGCATTGGGTTCTCGAGGATGTGCAGCAACTGCGGATTGCACGTTGCAGGGTTACGGGGCTTCCGACCACGATCAAGGTCCAAACTCGAGGCCGCGAGTCTTCTGCTTCAAAAAACCACTGAGGTTGATGGGTTTGTGTGAGCTTTAGAAGTGTGGACTGCTTTGGTCCCTCGGAAGCCCTCTACCGAGAACGAGGCTTGATGATCTCAAAGCCCTGAAAGCCATGAGCTCTCAGGCGACGAGTTCCGCGTGCAGGCGGGAATGGCCATCATTGCAAGAATGTGCCCAAGTTTCTAGAAACTCCCAAAGCACCTCGAAATCCTACAGACTCGCAAGCTCGACACAAGCCCTGAACAAAAGTTCTGAACCCGGCAGCCTTAAACGTCCTTCGGCAGATGGCAAGCTCGCTGGCAGCGTCCCCGCCGCTGTACATGTTCGCTGCCCTCAGTCTCCTGGCTTAAGCTGGCAGGAGGAGGGTTTTCCAAGGCTTCTTGGGGACCATATCGGGCCATGTGTGTGCTCCCACTTTTCTTGCACAGGTGCACTCGTTGTGCAGTCCATTGCCCAGAGCATCGCTTGCGCGAGCCATGAGTCCATCCATGCTGCCGCCGCATCCAATTGCCCAGAGCGTCCATGGCCAAACCATACGCGGAAAGATGGTGTATCTTGAGTTTCCAGCCGTTTCTCGGTTTCTCACCTCCACTTGCTGGGAACACTGTGTTCTGTGATAAAACTGCAAGGGCCCACGTAGCGTTTCCCGCCGCGCGGAAACACCGAGTTTTGCTGCGTTGCTTGTCAAAATGCACATACATTTCGGGGGCGTGGTGTCCATGCGCGTTTCAAGCGCCCATCAAGGTTTAGGTTTAGGGTTTAGGGTTTAGGGTTCAGGGTTCAGGGTTTAGGGGCTTAGAGTCTAGGGCTTAGGATTTAGGGTTTGGGGTTTACTGTCTGGGCGGCGTCCCTTGCATCGACGACAAGAAGTACAGGCATCCTCAAGCTGGAGTAGACGGGGCGTATGGTGGTGAGGGTTGGGGGATCTCGACTAATCCACCGGGTCCCTCCCAAGAAGGGGGTGGAGACATCCAACGCTTTGGGCGATGTAGATTGACGCCTTGAACCAAGACTCACACCCTCAAAACCGATTGACCCCCTTGAAGTCCCCAGCTCCCACACCAGAGCAACACATGCTTAAGCTGCACATCCCAAAAACAACAAAACTCGACCCCAAGCCCCAAACCACCGGAAACCAATGAGTTCAGGGCTGCAGGGCTCTCTGAAAATGCCGCACCGTGCAAGGTCCGATTCAGCGCACGAATCCTGCTTTCTACCGCTTGGACGTTGACAGCTGCTTGGATGCGAGTTCATGGGATCAGGAGTACGTCGGGTTCAAAGTTCAGAGATTATGCTACACTTGCACTTTTTGGGATATTATGTGATTATAGTCCCCTTTTGAACTGAAAGTGCGCACATTTGGGGGCTTACGAAACCAGCAGCAAAGTTGTGTAGAAGCGAACGATTGGGACGTGAGGCATCGCTCCGAGTCTGTACGTCCGAGGGGATGTGGGAGGGTTACTTGCTAGCCCAGTGGTACCCCTTTCCCTTTTTGTTGGTTCAAGGTTCCCTGAAAAAGTAACCAACCCGAAAACCAGGGTACCCGCTTCTTATGATATGAAACAGGGTTTATATTACTTTTATTCGTGAGTGTATATAAGGTTCCTTTTTCATATTGGTGAGTGTATGTACCTGGTGTCCTTTTGGGGGTACAAGAAATATATACCCTACTTCATATGGTTAAACTGGGCTACCAAGGTTAGGGTGGAGAGGGGCAGGAGGGTCTTGTTCTCCAGGGAGCCCGGGCTGCCAGGGGTTTCCCCCACCCACGACCCCAAGCACACGCGCGGCATGCCAAGTGCCAAGCTAGGTAGGCCCAGGGGTCATTCTTATACTTTCACTTGCTGGGTTTATTATTAAGAGGATCATGGATAGGAATATTTTTCAGAGGGTGCTAAGGGCCATCTTAGCAAAGATACGGCAACACATACACCACGACAGCACTTCTGGACAAAAACAAGCAAAAAAGGCAGACGACGGAACATTCCACAGGCACTGCTTGTTTTTGTTTCTTGAAGAGGCCTCACCACACCTCATTCTCCAGCCTGAAGAGTTTTGTCCTGGCAGCGGTCCTTTTGGTGCCTTCCACCGTCCAACCTCATCACCAAACCTGTTTGCGAAGTGCTCGGGGTCTTGTTGGGTCTTGGTGGGGGGGGGGGGGGGGGGGGGGTGGGCGGGTTGTCTGGGTGTTGTCTGATCGGGAGCGAGAGGCCACAGTCACTGGGGTTCTCGATTGCTGCCAAGACGAAATAACGATATAGAGGCGCACGGTGGAATCGTCCCTTGAGTTACAAATATACCCTTGCAGGGAGAAGGGTGCAATCAGTGTAATCGTGCCACAGTTAAGGGTACATTCACCAGAGGTAAGGGCATAGTCATGCCGCCGCCGAGGGTAAGGTCAATCATGCAAAGTTTCGGTTATAGGATTCGTACGGAACGCGTTAGAACCGTTAGAAGATCCAAAGCCTAATGGGACAGGATTCTGAGTTTTTATTCGGCTGGACCAGGGCTCATCAAACATTGCACTTGTGTATACGGCTTCTGCAAAGTCCTATCCGCAGGGCTCATGGAGGGGCTCAGAAGCGGCTCGTATGTTTTCAGGCGTTTGAGGGCCTTAGCTCTCTCACCTGTAGTAGAGGGCTTCATGTTTAGAGAAGTGTCTGACCCCAAACCCTATTAGCCTTGAGTCAGAAGCCCTTTAGGCAAAAAAAACCATGTCCGGGTAGTCCCAAAGTCAAAACCCTTGTCGAGGCGGGTATCAGCTTCTGGATGTGCACAGCTATTGGGCCAACCTCTCAGAGGCTCGGCTCCTCGAATGGACTTCCTTAGATCAGACAGTACTAGAACTTTCAATCAAGATCAAACCAATGATCGCTAGTAAAAGCAAAAGCAACACAAAAATCACGAATCACATAGTGGTTTCTTGCCTCGAACTAATTACCGCACGCCCAAGCCTAACCTAAAGCTCAACTACGGTGAACTTTGTGTGGGGGTTGATAAGATTGGGTAAGAGGTCAATCTGTTCTTCGGAATTTAGTTATCATGTTTACTTGAATGCTCGGCATTTGCAAAATCCGCATCTTGGGCAAACCATACGCATTTTGGGTGTCAACAGCTGCAATAAAGTTAATCGAAGATTTCCCAAAGTCAAGCCTCACACATACATGAACCTCGATTAAAAATTTAGAAAATTCAAAAAAGTCCACAAGTCCATAAACCTCGCGTTCACGCTGACGGGCAAAGCCCCCCCTCCCGCCCGGCCTTGCGCCTTGGGAGCGGCACCGCTTTTCGCCTGGCCTTTTTGTTGCCTCCTCAACCTCAGCGGCATCACCCTGCTCCTTGGTCTTGTCTGCTTCCTTCGTCGTGCTCCCCACCTGGCTTTGGCGCCTTCCGCTTCCTCGCAAGTCTGGGCCGCGGCTGCTGTTGCTGCCTCGGCAAAAGTGTCCTGTCCGCGCACGCCTCGAGCTGGCTTCAAATCAACATTTTCAGCACCAACTAAACACAAGTGAACTTCTTTACGAGAGACACGGCCTATAAGCTTTAATACAAACCGAAGTCGTTGACTAAGGACAAGTGACATGTGACATGGTTGTGAGTAACAAGCCCGTGAAGGAATGGAATCAGCTTTAATCTAAGTGATTTTCGTTTCAAAACGTTCATTTTAAAAAAAAAATCGACAGCGAGTCCCAGCAAAGATTCCAGACAATCACAGTGACAAGCAAGGGCTCAACATGTTGATAACCTTTAAGTAAAGGTTCACTAGCGGTCATTCAGCGGTAAAAAATCATTGCTCTGGTATCAAAGCCGACAAAGTTCGTGAAGCCTTGGCTGAAACTGCTTAAAAGATGCAAAGACTAACCAAAAGTGATCAAAGTAGGCAAATGCAGTGAATATCTCTTTCAAACTATTTAAGAACATGCCAAATCTGAACAAGCGACTACAACTGAAAGGTCGAGCTCCTTTATAGTTATGGAAATGTTCAACGGAATGTGTTGTTGGTTCTAAGCATGAAACTGTAGAACAAAAAACTTCTAGTTCCTAATCCTAACCGAGTAAGTCTTGAACAATAGGCTAGGATGTCTTTGCTGCAAGTCTGCGGTGAACAAAATGAGGGACCCCTCCTGTTATAGACCCCCCAAAAAAGTAGGGTTCCCTTATAATATGGACCCCTCATAAGGCACCCCTGCCCATATCGGAAACCCCCCCCCAACAAAAAGAAATCGATGCCGCGAGCCAAAGTCAAAGCCGCCAGGCCGACCCGCGCTTCGGCCCGGGCTACTCGGCGCGCGCGGACTTCGGCCTCGAGGCGCTGACGAACGAGAGGCGCGCGGCCTGCGCCGCCTGCGCTGCCACCCTAAACCCTAAACCACGGGTGTGAGGGCTTAGTTTCAGAGTGGGCAGTAGTATGCGGTTTGCGAGGTTGGGAATCGTCCTTCGTGCTTCGGGGGTGCTTCGGCTGAAAAAGGATCGTGATAAAAGTGTTTGAAGTTTTGTTGAAGGAAATGGCGGGGAATGTAAGACTGCACGAATTTAAGCTTCGGACTTTTCAGGTGTGCTGATGGCTTCAGGCTTTCAGGTGGAGCGGGGGATGGCGGTCAAACGTGCTCTGAAATGCACACACTTTTTTGTTACTCAGACAGATTATATCGGTTTCACTGAAGCGTTTTGCTCCGGTTGTTTCGAGGTTTTTGGGGGAGGGTTTTGACAGTGGGTTTTAGCGTTTGGGCTTGGAAGGTTTCGGGGCTGTTGAGCTTCGGAGGAAGTACTCGCAGGTACGCCCGTTTGGCGCGCTCTTTTGCCGATGGCGACGACAAGCTCTGGACAAAGTTCTTCTCTTCCTCTGTGGTTGAGACGCCGGGCTGTCACTAGGGGATCAGAATTGGGTGATCACAGCGTATAGGGCTTTGGAGTACCAAGCATAACAAGCATACCTGATTCCCAACAACCGAAGGGTTGGGTTTTTTTATTTCTAGCGGTGGACACTGGAGACCAAACCGGAAAGGCACGGTAAGAGAAGACAGCAGGGAGAGGAACACCGGACCAGGACCCCCGCCGGAACGGAATCGGGGCATGCTCGAGATGCCGCTGTTCCCGTAGGCCCTGGTCAAGAGAGGAAGCGAGAGTCGCGTTCATACGCAGCCTCCCCAGCGAACCTTTCCTTATATTGGTCCTTGATCATCTTCAACCCAGCTGGCTGGTGAGCTGCAGCTGTATTGAGTTTTGCGCAGGGTCCAACTTGCGTCGTTCAAGTGTGACTGGAACAGTTTGGGTTTGGGCGGTGATCCGGCGTCTGTTTGCCTGCAAAGTTTGCTGCGACGGCACATGCGTGTACTTTCTGAAAGCTTCGTAAGATGAAGCCTCGGGTCGGCTGCTTGGGGGCTTATGCAAGGCCTATCAGCCACACACAACAAAAACTTGCAGAGACACACACACACACACACACACACATATTTGAAACCCTCGAAAGTTTGGGCACAAACAATGAGAGGAAGAATAATCAGAATCGACTGGCCTGGGCCTTACGGGTCCTAGGAGCCTCTCCTGTGACACCGCCAATGGCCTGGGCCCGGCCACCTGGCCACTGCTTTGTGGTTTGGGAGTCTGTTTTTTTCGAGGTGGAGGCAACCTTCGCAGAGGGCTCAAGAAGGGTTCAGGGTTTGCACCCCTGCACGTTGAAAGTTCAGGATGGTCCAGGTTTCTTGTTGCTTGGGGGAGCACTGCAGGGCATCTCCAGCGTTTCGCTGCGAAAGGGTGGTATTGACCTTTTGTTAGTGTGTGCTTCTTCCTTCCCAAAGGCAACCTCGGGTTGTATCGAGTTGTCCCGAGAGTGAGCTTGAAGCCATGGTTCGTAGGAAGGGCAATGTGGCGAAACCTGCCCAGGCTCGTCCTCCAAGAGCTTTTGAAGCAGTCAATCCCCAAACGACCCTGGGCCCCTAAGTCCTGAAAATGCCGGGGGATTCGCCTTCAGATTGCTTGCGCTGACTGCAGCGGTCCATGTCGTCAAGCGGCGGTCTGCACACTCCTCTACGGGGTTTCAGCCGCTCTGACTTGCATAGCGAAAAGTTCTTGGAAAGATTGGCAGCTTTCTCAAGGAAGGTACTAGGTAAGGTGTCGCTAGGAACCGAGCACGCAGTTGCCAAAGAGTCGTATTCTCTCAGGGCGTTGGCGCTTTCGGAGCTTGTGGTCTCTTGGGATCTGAGTGAGAAGAGCATCCTTGACCTGAAGCTTTTGAACTTCGTCTGAGATAGGGCGTTCGGCAAGCGTCATCAAGCTCCCAACACGAAGGCCATATCAGCCTCTAGCACCTACAACAAACGCCACCTTAGCACCCTAAACCCTAAACCCTAACCCTCTAAGCCGCAGCTCGACAGCCGCGCAAGGAGTCCAGCGTTGCCTCCTGCTTGGACAAGGGCCTTTGGCAGGTGCGGGAGAACACGCAATCACTCTGCCCCCGCTTTTTTTGTATGAAAATTCCGCGGGCTTGCCTGCGGCAAGTCAGGGAGAGGGAGGGGGGCAGATCTGCCAACTCCCGTGTTGAGCCCCACACCTTTAGCATTTCAAAAAAATGCCTGAAAGAGGCCCGAGCTGCCGGAGCAAGCACTTTTTGTCCCGAATTTGTCGTTCAGCGAGTTGAACTTCCAATGGGGAAGGGCTTAAAGCAGTCCTGGGGGGGGGGGGGGGGTTGAAGAATGCAGGATTGAGGCGGAGATGCATGGACAAACGCATTTCGCAACCTGCATCGGGTAGGTTTTCCTTTGGGAAAGCAAACTTGATGGAGGCCGTCATGGATGGAAAGACACTATTCGCATCCGGGACTTTTTGGGTTTCCTACTTGCCTCCCTCTCCCTCTCCTTGAGGTCTTGTTTTGCCTGTTGCTTGCCTCCCTGTCGTGTTTTTTTACTGTTCTGACACTGGCCTGCGCATTTTCAAGCTTGGGATTTAGGAGACCGGTGGCCAGACAATTTCAGCCCACAAGCATACTTTCGAGTTTAGGGTAACTTAGGGTTCGCTGCTGTTTTTGGGTTTTGGGCTCAGGGTTTACGATGGCGTCTGGCCGCCAGACAGCCACCCAGCACTGCGAAAATTTGGGATACCGAACTAGAGGACCCATATCTAGATGTGACGCCAAGCCCAGCAGACTCAGAAAAGACACCTAGACATGGCTCCATTGGCCGGCGAGGTCGCGAAGAAACCCTGGGTTTGGTATGCAGACCTCCGTGCCCTTTGGCGAGCCGACGAGCCGGCGGGTGTCCTTCAGGGATGGTAGAATATAGGGGTCGAAATGAACACCAATAGTATTCCCTTGTGGTCCCTCTACAATTGTACTAAAGTAACCCCCAAAAATCCTGTTCTAATTATTAAGGCCCCTATATTAGCGGCGAAGCGGGTTTAGCAGGTTCAGCGGTAGTCCAGGGTCGAGGGTGGACATTTTTGGGGTTCGGAGTTTGAGACGTTAAGGCTGTTCTCGGCTCTGGACTGTCTACTGGGTTCGAAGTTTACTTGTGGACTTGCTTTTGAGGGTTTGTCCAAGTCCTTTTTTTGAGAGGGGGGGGGGGGGGGTCTCCGAGCTCTAGACTCATCCAACTCATTACAGCCGGAACTCGGGAAGCCTTTGCCGTCAGCCCGAATTTCGCGCTGTCCCTCATGGATTTCCCAAAGCTCTCAGCCCGCATCGGTATGGGGCCGCCTGAGGTTGTGGCCGTGTGCCTGCTGATTTTCATAGCGCTGTCCCTCTTTCAGTGGCGGCGGCGGCTTCGGCAGCGCCTTGGCTCTACTTCTCCAGTGTGGTGGCTGCCCCAAGGCCCGGAAGGCATTTCTCTCCAAAAAGCAGTGGGAATGGCGGAGTTCCTCGAAGCGGCCGCCAGACATTTCATGCAAGCTCCAACCCCTCAACCCCCTAAACGCCCCTAAGCCCTGCCCTAAGGCTTCATGATGCTTCATGTTTTCCTCGCAAGGAGGACTTGCTTGTTGAGATGAGGTTCGGTTGAAGAAGGTGTTGCCTTAGGTGTTCCTTCAAATCGTATGTTGGGCCATCAGGCCCCTTTGACCACGCAATCTTGCTGCAAACCTCCCACCCTACAAGCCACTGTGAACGCATGCAGTCCCCAGAACTCCCTACCAAAGCACAGGCGTTCAGGAAACTTATAGCCACAGCGAAAGTAACTAGCAGCTCTCCTTTCTACAACCCGCAACCCCAGACCCTTTTGGGCCCCGAAAAGGGCTGCACACACTGGGACTACACGATTTCATACCAGAGGTTCCCGGACCCCGATTTCAAACACACTAGGACCTTCAACTCTCTACTAATTGCTTAAGAAACCCTTAAGGTTAATATAGGGATTATTGTTTTTTCTTTTGGGGTTTTTAAGCAAATAGTAGCTCTGCCCTCACCAAGAGACCTCTGAGGGTCGAAGCACTGCGACTGCCCGCACGCGCGGAGGAGGCCACAACCTGCTTAAAGTGTGGGGCAGTTCCCCAAGTTAATAGCCCCCTGGGATTTTTTTAATTGTTGTTTATACAACACCCAAGAGGATATTAAGAATGCTATTTTTATTAAGGTTCCAAGGGGTGTATAGAAGTCCTAGACGTGAAGTCGCAAATCCTACCCGGGGGGGGGGGGGGGTTCTCGGTGCAACGGTTGGTCAAGAAGCTGGATGATCCCAGCAGGAACAAGCACCGTCCAGCTCTCCGTTCTTACCGCAAGACCATGTGCACTTTTAGCCGTGCGACCTGGAGTGCAGCGGAAGAATCGAAGCTGTGCACCAGTCCAAGCACGCGCACACACACACACACACCTTTTCGGATGTTCTGGCCTTCCGCACGACACTGGGCACGAGCCACCATGTAGTGAATGTAGTGCACGAGCGGAGACAAAAGACGAGCATCGGAGATATACAGAAACTAAAGCAAGGTTTTGCACGGTGCCTATCTTGTGTGCTACACAAGCATTGTCTTCGCATCGCGTCGAAGTTAGAACATGTCTTGCACAGAAACGTTTGCTGCAAGCCCGCACAACACATCACGCATCAAGAGAGACAAGGCAGAAAGCCTTGACAGAACCGGCTGGATGGCGCGATATCTCAAAGGCCAGACACCCGAACCCGCACAAGGCCTTCAAAGCGAAGCCTGCACCCAGTCGTTGCCCGGCATTTGGCATTTTACCGTCTCATGGTTAGCGCATTAGGGATCCACTCGTTTTTATGGCTTTGGCGGTTTCGAGGCCCTTGGCACTTCCCAAAACATTCTGGGGCTGAGGCGTTTGGAGGAGTGCATGATTTTAGTCCTTGTCACCGTCCTCATTGCCCCTGAACATTCCTACGTCGATACCAGTGGTCACGGCGCAGGTCGAGCTGCGTGGTACATCGCAGAGGGCGTAAGAGAAAAAAAGCATGCGTGCGTGATGGTGCAGACAGCTATCAGAGCATCTTCTGTCTGGTTCTTAGCAGGGAATGAGGCTCCCTTAAAGGGTATATACAGGGCCCTAACTCCTCATTCCCTACGAAGAACAGCGGTGTTTTTCAATAGTTAGAAACAACCTCAAAGCCTCAACCCAAACTCACCTGCCGTAAGGTGGGTAGGTGCCACCCTGCTTGTAGAGTTGAAGGGTCTATGCACAGGCATACTGAGCAGAGATAGGCTCAAGGCTGACGCTCTATGCTGTAGGCTGCTTCATGTTGGGTGCTTTGAGTTGAAGCGTGGAGGGTGGTCAGAGCTACCTTGAGGGGCTGTAACTACCCGGCAAACGCGAAAGCCAGCCTCTGGCCTACTCTGAGGCCCTAGCAAGGCCCCTCAATCCCGTGAAGCCTAGATTCTACGCACAAGACGCCAACTGAATCCCCACCCTTTGCTTTTTTTCCTTAAGAACCCCCAAAACATAAAGAATAATAATCCCTATATTTCGCTTCCAAGGAAGAATATTGTTTATTGTTTAGAGCTTCTGAATCCCCATCCTGTGAGCTTCTTACAAGTTGCTGCTTCTGTCATCGGCCGTTGGATCCAGCTGGAACACGTTGGGCGAAGGAAGGGAAAGCCCCCAACACACCCTTGCTCCTGCACAGGCCGGGATCCTTGCATGTGGGTTTAGGAAAATGGGGGGGGCCCGGAATTTTTGCCCCCAGATGGTAGGATTCCTTTATACTAGAGACCCCGATAGCCACATGAAGTGGCGGTACACTAAATGCTGATCCCTGCGCCGCGTGAACGCTAAAACGCCGCTCCAGCCCGCGGCGCACGTATCCCCAAAACCCGCCCGAAACTGCCGGTGAAGATAGGCTGGGTTTACGATGGCTTCCGGGTCCGAAGTGCTTAGAGTGCCTAGTGCTCTGGGACTCGGATATTGGATTGAAGCGTTTGATGGGTAAAGGATGTGGTGCTTTATGACTTCTGGCCTCAATTTAGGTCCTTGGTTTCAGGGTTGAGGGCTGAGGGATCCAGGGCCTTGGACGCCTTGGCCTTATTTGGGGCTTTTGGGATTTGGGAGTGTAAGGTTCTGGCCCGCCCCCTGAGGAGATGATCCGCATCCTCGCCATTAGCCTCGCTGCCGTAACTCCGGCAAACTCTTTCTCGTTGCTTCTGTTCCGGGCTTTTTTGCACCTGGACCCCCTGCACCCCAAACCCTGTAGCCTCCACACGGAGGCTCCTCTCACCTATGACATCTGAAAACTAGAGCTAAAGTGAGCTCAGGGCCCTATGTCTTGTGCATCCTGTCCCCAAGAGCTGACTTGGAAGCTCAGAAGAGCCGTTCGCAGGGTGCGCTGCGTTGAGGGTTGCAAGGGTTTAGGGCTACTAGATTACGCTCAAGAGCGTATAGGACTTAGAGTCTTAGAGGGTTTCGGGATTGGTGTTTAGGGTTCAGAGTAAACGAAGGGATCCCTGGACTGTGCCACTTCAGCTCGGGGCAGGGACACCCCCCAATGCGGGTGCTTCATGCGCTTTGCTGGTCTGTCGCTCTGGCTCGGGATGTGGAAGAACTTCTGCATGGGTTTTTTGGGGTTTTAGGAGTTTAGGGTTTTAGGGTTAAGGGTGTTGGAAGTTTCGAGCCTTCAGCTTGGAGAGTGCAACCCTAGACCCTAAACCCGAAACCTTACACCCTAAACCCTAAACCCTAAACTCTAAACCCTAAACCCTAAACCCTAGCGTAGTTGGGACACTCTGGTGCCCATGGCATGGCCCCTGGCACATGGCCTCGCAAGCGGACTGGGCGGACGCGCTGCAGCTCGTTGACGCAGGCACCCTCGAAGAAGGGAAAGTCGATGCTCTTGTGGGTTTTGGGTTCAGGGTTTAGGGTTTCGGGTTTAGGGTTTAGGCTTAAGGTTTTTTGTTTTTAACTTTTCATTTCCTGCTTGTTTTTTGCGGATTAGGGGATGTCAAGGGCAACAACTTGTCTTGCAGTTCAGGGCTCACGGCAAACTCAAGCTTCGGGTTTGTAACCTGGCGCCTGATCTGACTTGGTGCTCTTGGGCTTGGCTGACTTAGTAGTCGAGAATGTAAACCCTTCAACATGATCCCCAAGGTTATGCTTCCGCGCTCCCCTTATAAACACTAAACAAGTAGGCCCCGCCGGCGGAAACTGCTTGCCCATCCCGGCCTTAACGCGCGGAATTTGGGTGGAGACAGGGTCTCAGGGTTCTCCAACTTGTCTCTTCAATTTGCAAGTGGCTCACGGGATTGAGGCCTCGGATTGAGGGACCTTGGGGCTTCAGGTCATAGGGCCAAGGGAGTTTGGGGCCTTCCAAGCCCACTGCAGTTTTTCGGAATCGCTTTCGCATGATTTCGGGCACCCCCAAACAGAAGGGTCGAAGAAACTTTCAAATTTCAATCCCTAACCTTACACCCTAAACCCTAAACCCTCCAGAGTTTGGCCCAGGACCCCAACGCCGGATCCACCCGGTTGTTGCCTATGGCACGACCATCGCAGCACCTGGGAGCAGTGTAAAGGATTTGCGGTCTAGGGCGTTTAGGGTTTTTAGGGTTTAGGGGCTCAGGGTTTAGGATTTAGGGGTTTCGTTCGGAAGTCCTTGCGCAAGGCTTCGAGGGTTTCAAGGTTTGGGAGGCGTCTCGATGTTGCGATGCTGCCGGAAGAGCAGCAGCTGCCAAGAGTATGGAGGTTTTTGACACAGGGGCTTTACATGGGCCCGATATTTTCCTGCGGGCTGCAGGTCTCTTCTCACTGGGCATTCGCTGTAGGCATCTGGGTTGACTTTTTTCCCCTGCAGTCCTGGCAGGAGCATGTCGCTCGAAGCCCTTAGTGTTCAAAGTCCGGGCTCTTAAGAAAAGGGTAGGTCACTTGTCGAAACCAAGTTCTGGAGCGAAGAGCGCGGTTCCGAAAGAAGAGTGTTGCAAGATGCTTCTTGACGGAATTCCGACTTCTGGCAGTTCATTACTTACGGGTTCCCAAGAGCTGCATATTTCTAGAGACGCAGAAACTCGGCTTTGGAACACTTGTACCGTCTCACGACCCTCCGTTTTTCAGATTCGAAAACGCATCAAACAAAAACAGCAACAGCCCAACATCCCCAAACAGTTCATCCCCTCCCTTCCCCCCCCCTCCTCCTACCCCTAAACGCTAAACCCTAAACCCTGAACCCTGAACCCTAAACCCTAAACCCGAAACCCTCCCCCAAAAAAACAGAGCCTACCTATCCCTTCAAGGCCCAGGGCCGCTTGTCGGCTTGGAGCCACGCCTCGGCTTCCTTGGCCGAGATGCGGCCGCAGCAGCTGCAAGGTGGTCGGGGCGTTTTTTTGAAAACTTTCAGGGGCTTAAAGCTAGGGTTTAGGAGAATTATAGGGTTTAGGGCCAGATTGGGGTTTGGGTTTAGTTAAAGTTGCTTTCGAGGGGGGGGAGAACTTTCGGCACAGGGCGTCACAGGCTTTCGGCGCGCTTCAAGTTTTTTGGAGGTGGCTGAAGGTTTTGTGCTGTATGGACGCTTCCGGGAGTCTGTTCAAGCTTGACAGCTGCTTGGTTCACTTTCCATGATCTCAAGGGCGGGGAGGGGGTCCGAGGGGATGGCGGCCGCAACGGCACCGACACCCACACCCCACGCACCTGCCACATCCGACGCACCCGACACACCCGACCGACACAGAGAGCGAGAGAGAGAGAGAGAGAGACAGAGCATTCTATTAGCGCCCTGCATGACTGCTAGTCGGCGCTTGCCCCTCCTGAGTTTTCAGTTCACCCAGGCTTCAGCCTAAGCTTTTGACAAGTTCAATGTTTTCAGACCAACTGCCAGCAGGCAACATCATCACCTTCGGGGCCGCGCTCAGCGCTTGCGACAGGGCAGAGCAGTGGCGACAGGCCAATGTGGGCAGGAGCGCACCCTAAACCCTAGAACGAGAGGCATTCGGCATCCGGCAGGTTGCCGCACCTCTTGTCGAATCTCGCCCCTCCAACAGGCCGCAGAGTTCTTCAACCGCCCAAACACACCCATCTCTCGCCGAATGCTCCTCTTGCGCCGCCCCAACGTCTCTTGCACCAGGCAAGGGTTCACAGCTACCGCAGTGTCGAGACTTGAAACCACTCCTCCTCTTCGCCCGTTCTTCTCATTGGACCATGCTGCGATCTCTCGGCCCTTATCTGAGGTCCCCTTAGGTCCCCTTTAGCTATCATAAGTATCCTAAGTCCATTTTGCCTTGCCCGCAACCTTTTGCGGCATGAACCGAACCATGCCATATTGGTCATCCGGAACCATACAAAGTCTGAGACGTCGAGCGGAGCACCTCCTGAATCCGAAAATCCCTCCGAAACGACCCGGAAGGCGACAGCACTTCTCGAAGGCTCTCAGCAGCTTTCCCTCCAGCCCAATGCTACTGCCTAAGCGTGCTTTGAGCTCGTAGGGGTTTTAAGGTTTGAGGTTTCTGTGTTTTTGCCGCCGTGTGCTGTAGTTAGGTTTGTTTAGGAGGGTGGGGGGGGGTTGAGTGAGTCTTTCATCGCAGGGAATTGTGCGGGTTGAGGGGGTTGAGGGCTTCACAGGTGTCCATAACATGGTGGCTTATTTCGCATTCGGCCCGTCAGCCGAGTCCCCTCGCCCTCCAAACCCACACAGCCTGTGACCGAGCTGCGAGCTTACGAGAGGGACTCCCGCTGATCTCAAAGGTCATCGTGGCCGGGACAATCGCCCGGGCTTGCGCCCAAGGCATGGCCGGGGGCTTTGAGGTCTCAAGTGCTCGACATGTTGGGGGGGGGGGGGGGGGGGGGGGGGGGGGGGGGGAGGGGGGACAGGGGCGTGGAACCTTTCGCACCCCGAAAAAGCTAGGTACTATAGTGAGTCAGCTCCCCAAACTGAGATGGGCATTTGGCACTTATTTGGTGACGACATCGGATCCTGAAGCCAGTGCCTACAGCCGTCTTGCAGCTGCAGGTACTTGGTTGTCAGCTTTCTAGTTTCGTTTAGGGTGATGCCAGTGAGTCACAGCCTCGTGCCTTTCATGGTTCAACATCAGAGTTTAAAGTGGAGAACATGGAGCACATGGCTCACGTGAGCTAAGGTTAAGCCTTGAAACCCGACGCAACCACCTTCTGGTGGAAATTCGGGGTTTGTTTTCACGGGTTGTGGCCTCTAAGCTGGATTGCACCCGGGCGTGGCGTCACGAAGGGTGTGGGGCCTATTCAAGATGGTCAACTCCTGAAGAAGAAGCGAGGTGTTGGCTGTTTCGGTGCCCCTCATCGAAGTCACCCTATTTGCTCCAGGGGCGCAGTGGGCCGCCGCGCTTCGCCTGTTCCAAGAACTCTGTAGGGGCTTGCTACCCGGCAGATGAGGTCATGGATGTCTCAAGCTCGTTGCACGCAGCTTATGGGTTTGAAGTGTTGGAGAGTGGGGCATCCTAAGCCCCAAACCCGATTGCTTCCAAGACTCTACTCAGTGCCCTACAGGCCTTACACGTTCTTCGTTGGGGGGAGGAGAGGTGGCGGATGGGCCGCTGTGTTCCTCAACGTGCGGATGGGGCGTCCGAGGCGTCTCGACCGGGTCGCTCAGCGTGCGGCGGTGGCCGCTGCTGCTGACGGGGGCTCCATGGCCTCCAGAGGGCTCAGGGAAAGTTATGACGACGGTGTGTGGCTTGCGGGCTGAAGGTAATTTAGGCCCTTCAACCCATGCTTCGTTCACTACTGAACTTCAAGGTCTGTGACGAGACCTGAAGCCAAAGTGTATTCAGAATCGGGCTTAGGGGGAGTTGGGAGTTGTGCGAACCCATAGGTTTCTGGGAAGGATGGCACGGCATCGTACGGACAGCACGATTTCGTATCATCGGGTGGGTGGCGAGGGCGGGGGGGGGGGGGGGGGGGTGATCTCCAAGATTGGATTCAAGGCGCTGTCGCATGGGGGAGGGGGTGTTAGGCATGCAGGACTGACACGATGACACGAGCCCGCTCTAGAACCTAAGCCCACTAAGCCCCGTACCTCTTTGAGCCTGTTTGAGCCCTTGCGCACACTCGTCGGTCCAATTGACACAAGGCTGGGAGATGGCAGTGGCCATGCAGTACCCCCTCGACGAGCCAGGTGCGCAGCTCTTAAGCCCTGCCAAAGTTCAGAGAGAGCCGGTTG